TCATTATTCACAGCTCTTGTTTTGGAATGAATGCTTGGGAATTCTTCCCAAACAATTCAGCAAATTTAACTATTGTAAAACACAGAAGGGTCAGATTGGCTAAAGCACTATAAATGGAGCAAACCATGTTCTCCCTGATTTTGACCTAGTTTTTTTCTCATAGTTGGGGAGGGGATGGCATCCTATCCAACCAGATATGAAACTACACACTTGTTCCCAAATTAAGTACATCTAGGTCAGTAAAGCCTAGGCAGGTATCACATTGCCCCAAAATATTTCCTCTGGGTGAGATTGTACCTGGGCTAGGAAGTAGCTGCATTAGCTACAATGCCCCAGATACTCCTATTTATGTTATGGCTTGCATGATATTTCAATCATAAACTTAAGCATTATATGCTCCAGGGAATGGTGCAACAGGTGCAGGGCATTTTAAGCATCTGCTTCTATCAGCCTTCAATGGGACTGACACCTTTACAATAGAATTATCAATATCAACTTCTTTTTATCAGCTGCATAGCTTAAAAAATACAGTAAGTACAAGCATAGACTTATGGAATAAGTCCTTTCTTAGGAAACTAGAAAGTTTCAGAATTGCAAGCAGCCAATTTCTAATGGTCTTTGGCAATCACTGAGACCAGCTTGAGCATGGTGTCTACTGTCATCTGCTGCCAAAGTCCTTAAGTGCCAGCTGTGAATGCATCACAAATTCACTTGGGTTATTTTGTTCTAACTACAAGTTGTAATTTTAATACTTTTGTTCTCTTCCCCCAAGAGCCAAAACCAAATTTCAGATACTGTGACAAAGTGATTATTTCTCTGAAAATTTGTGACACTGAGTATAATTTGAAAACTCAGCACAACTTGGCCTGGCCTGCATTTAGATCATTCAGGCATGAGGTTCAGCATACCAATGTAACCAAAGCATCCGCCTCTACTGGTGAACTTTTGCAGACCAGCATACAGCCAGTTTGCAAAACATAATAAACTGACGAGGTCTTGTTGGGGCAGGATGGGGAAAAAACATTCAGTTGTGGCTGAAATTCAAGACGTCCGTGCGCTGCAATTTCGACCGTGATGCCGCTGCTGCGGCAGACGTGTTCGGCGTAGCATGTATTTTTGAAGTCTGGTCAGCAGGTGCACATGTCCACAAAATCTTGTCGAGTAATCCAGCTAAAACCCCTGGCTAGAAAAGATCAGCCCTGGACCCAAGCAGAGCAGTCGTCTGTCCTATATAGGGAAGGATCCGAGCTGCCTCCAATATTTCGTCGGCTGGTCTGACACCTTTCGTGCCCTGGCACGCAGGCAATATGCGCAACACACCCAACACAACTAAGAAAAAAAATCGAGAAAATTACTACACCCCCGCCCCATACACGATTTCGCTTCCATCAAAGTACCCAACCAGACCTCCACATATATATCACGCACCCAACTCGCCTTAGGATCTCACCTTCCCTGGCCGAGATATCACAATCCGGCGCACTGCCCTGCGCTCCGTCGTTTTCCGCAAGGCCGTGTAAGGAGGGTACGATCATCAAATTATTTCGGAGCTCCATCCGCTCAGCGTTAGCGTGACGTCACTGGAGCGCTCCCTCGGCAAGCGCCGAGCAGACCCCGTGCATTACGTAATCCTCCGAACGGCGTCATTGTTCGCCAGTTGGTTTCAGCACCTCGGTTTTGCACGTAACCTTTGGAGTGAAGAGCTATTCTTTTTGTATTTATGCCGACGTTGTCGCCAGATCTTGTCTATCACAAAGTGACCTCGGTGTGAATCAGAAAAAAACATGATCTAACCTGCGGATGAATCGTCTGCGCTAAAGCGGGATCTGTTAGCAATGGTGCCAATACCGTAAGACAGGCCCAAACAGTCAGAGTCACCGCTCTCGCGCCTTTGCCGTCACCGATTTTTGTGTCACTCACCCGCGCGTGCTAACGGCCCCCAAGCCAGGTCAGCCTCGGGTTCAAACCGTCCCGGATCCCGAATCTTGACTGTCTGGATCCTGGAGCTGAGCTTGGCCGTATAGCTTGTGATGTGTTAGTTGTGAACCACGATGGTTGGCGCGATGTTGCCGAAGCGGGTCTCAGGTGCACAATGTCGGGAGACGACTCCTGCTGTGACCTCTGCAGCCTCAATACCAAGCCCGGAGCACGCGTTCTAAGGTGGCCAGTGTTGCTTCAGTACGCTACCCTCACAGTTTAGCTCATGCATCCCAAGGTGGCCACTGAGGCCCCGGCTAGCTCTACAAACAGTCTAGATCATGTGTCCCTGGGTGGCCAATGTAGCCTCGGCAAGCTCAACAAACAGTTTAGATCATGAGTCCCAAGGTGGCCACTGATCGACCTCGGCAGGTTCAGACAGTCTGGGCCAGGCGTCACGCTGTGACCTCAGCAGGCGCTACAAAGATCCCAGGCCAGACGTCCAAAGGCGGCCGCTGTAGCCAAAGCAGACTTCAAACTCGGTTCACTTCATGCGTTCCAAGGTGCTATAGGTCTCAAAAAGGCACGCGTCTCAAGAAGGCCGTTGCCATCCCAGTGGATCCCACATATGGTGTCAGTTCCTGCGTTTTAAAGTGGCCGGAGCCCCACTCCTCCGCTGCTTCGGTTTCACTGTGACCAGAGGCCTCTACGTCTTGTCCTTCCCCAGTCTCATCACGGTGTGACTGCCAAGCGGGTCCATGCTGACACCGGGACCCCGGTGAACCCGGCTAGACAGCGGCCAGTCCAAGGGGTGGCACTGACAAAGGGGGTGACACAAAACAGGCACCCCAGGGGGCGACACTGTCGTCATGGCCAGCATAACTATAAATGACAAGCAAGCCAACTTACGCTTCACCACGAGCTGCTTGCGCCTCATCACCCCTGTCACAAAAGGACTGTGCGTAGGTTACCTGGAACTTAAAATGCATCGCATTGCAAATGTCGCAAACATCATGTGCGTGCAGAGGTCGCTGCAACAGTTGACCGAGCATCAGAGTGACCACGCCACCTGCACAGTGCGTGGCGTAATGCTCGCTGCGCCACGCCATCATGCAATCCGCGCTGATGGCATCGCGGGTTTTACAGTCGTGCGACGCTGGTCCGTGAGCAAGGGCCGCGCCAGCGTGATAGAAGCCTGCCGCACCAGCCGCGGGACGCAGGGACAGCAAAAGACACATGGGTCTCAGCGAGTAGTTTGGGCACTCATCACATCCTTCCAGAACGAAGATGCAGCATTCGATCGAGGAGGGCGGCAGCTGAGCTCATCAGCTCACCCGGAACCGCTCCATCGAGGTCGCCGGCACTGGACAACTCCCGCTCCGCCGGCGCACTAGACGCGAACGTCGGGGGTCAAAGTTCCGTCGCTGATACGCCAAACATCGCCTGCAGCGCAGCAGTCGCACAGATAGCGAATGGATACCGCCGGCGAGCCGCACTAAGCCAGCGGGACGTCAGTCTAAGCCAGCAGGAAGCCAGGCCCCGTCGGCAGGAATCACATACGCCGGTCATGCCACATATGTCAGCGCATGCCTACCTTGCAAGCCATTAAAAACATGACAGAAACGCCGCAACTTTACTTAACTCCTGAATCAAACTTTGAAACATTTAACACTGTGCTGTATGCGATATTTTCGTTGTGCTCTAACGACGAAGCCAGCGGCGCGGTGGGGCAGACCCAGGTGGCTCCAAAGACGTCATCGCCCTGCAATTTAGCCGCTCAATATCTTATCCATGGGAAATCACATAATGACACCCCCGATTCTGTGCAGCAAAGATTTCGTGACGTCACGCGCGGCACTATGTTAGCGTTTCAAGCACGGGAGAGGTGTGATGCGAAAGCGCCCGAAATCGTCTGTTAACTGCCATGGGATGTCTGTGGTGGACGACTTCCTTAGCATCTCACGGCAGGTACCAATAGTTGTCATATATCTTCGCTTGTTATAGTCATGCAAAATTGCTGATCCGTTTCTGCATGGTGGGCCCCTTCGTTCGGCATGGACATGCAGTGTGGGGCTCATGCTTGGGGATAGGGTTGTGATTTATATGGGGCGGATGTCCCAGACTTGTTTTGTGTTGTATTATTTTCTGTTGGTCATGCAATGATTACACGGCCACTCAGAATCGGCTTGGGCGCACTATGACCTTTGATGTCGACGCGCCCTGAGATCTCAAATTGCCGTCAGTGCTGGCTTCAGCCCCATAAGCATCGAGGAAAGAGTTACCTAGCACACGATGATCACCTCTGGCTATTCTTTGATGGTCATGATCATGACTATGTTGTCTATGACCATGACCATGTTGACATGCCTCTATTCCCGAAACGACGAGATATCGGGAGGATGATGAAAGAGAAACTGACATGTATCAAAATAACTTGGGCCAAATCCGTTGTTAACTACAAAGTTAGCAGTAGGTTGGAATGTTATGCCCTCGGCTCGATCTCTCCAACGATGTGGCTGGGGCAGTACCCATGTGGCGCACCATGCGGCGACTGCATTTGCCATACACGTGAGTTTCCAAGCTAGGTCGGCGCCTGACCTGTTACTGGGTAAACATGCCATAGTCCAACGGAGGCAAATGTCGTTAGGTGCTCGTGCTCTCGCCATTTCTCGTGGTGTTCTTGCATATTTACCCGTGAGTTTAAGGTGCTTGCCTGTATTCACATGCTCGGTCTACATCTTGAAATCGACAGGACCCACAGCTGCCCTTCCAGCGCGGCTCGTCCGCGCAAACGCCTCCCCCGACTGGTCCTGACTCATCGCTGGCTGGCTGGCTTACAGATAATGCGTTCCATCTGCTATGTACAGTAGGAAATGCGATGGGGGGATGCAATGGGAGCGATACTAAAAAAGAAACTATATATGGTGTGCTTGCGTGCCAGCGTGCGTGCGCGCGCGCGCGCACGCGCGCGTGTGTGTGTGTGTGTGTGTGTGTGTGTGTGCGTGTGTGTGTGTGTGTGAGCGCGCGCGCGCGCGCGTATGCACGTAGTATCAGCCAAAATGTCTCCGTCTCACAACGCCACACTGTTCCATATATGTATTTTCCGGTCACTCCGTCCAAGCGATCACATGGGCACCAACAGGAGAGAAAGCAACGTTAACACTGCCCTAATCACGCCGGCAACGTCGGGACATGGTTGGGCCTGACCGAGACCCTATCATACACGTCAGACACCTCTGCAACTTGACATGTACCCATAAATATACTGCAACGGTTTATAACGCCCATTTACCCACACGATCTACCGCGGGAGTAGGAGCGGTTTGGCCGCCAAGTTAGATATGTTGTAAAAAGTAAGACGCGCGCCGTCCACGCACATGCGCCATTAAAAACAGCGCCTTCGCCTGCGCACAAGGAAAGCAATCGTTATCACAACCCACTTCAGTACGATAGCCCGACTTAAGAACGCCTCGCGTTCAGCTGGTGACGCTGCGTGATACAAGTTGTGACCGTCAGCAGCCGCAAGACCCGCCACTGGCGCTCACCACGGGACCGTCATGAGCGACGTCTGTCACCTGCGCAACCAGTCGCATTACCCGCCGGGCTCTAACGTTCAGCGGAGCGCAGCGCCCGCCACCCATGCCGCACCACAGCCCCTGACTCACGCCCCACGCAGGGGCCTCGCCGCCCGCGCGGTGAGGCGGGGTCGCCAGCTGACCGGCGCCATCGTCCGTCGCCTGGGGCGGGGGCGGGGACGGGGGCCGGCGCCGGCAGCGACCCCAACTCCAGCTCAGTTCTCGGAGCCGCGGGACCGGCCGCGCTGGTAGCCCATGACGCCGGCCACCACGGTGCCAACGATGCCGGCCAGCGCCACTAGGCCGACGGCCACGCCCGTGTCCACCGATTCCTCCTCCTGCTGCTGTTGCTGCTGGGCGTAGGCGCCCGCATCCTGGGGGGGGGGGGGGGGGGGGGGCAGACAGGCGGCTGGTCAGCGGCAGTGGCGTGTGCTGCCGCCGTGTTGTAGGGGAACGACGGTACGGACGGTTCTACGGCCGCGGTAGAACACAGCGCTGCAGACGGGCATGCAAGACCGGCTGTCACATTCTTATGTTTAAGAGTCCTTATTGACGAAGCCACCACACCCACACCGAGCCAACCAGCATGGCGAGCCCCGAATAACCCGAGCCAGTTGGTGAAGAGGGCGCCGGGTGACCTGCGCCATCAACGTGACACTGCTGCCTCTCTTAGCAGTGGGTTAAAAATGTCAACTGTTGAAAACAAGCTGTGCGAGTATCGCAACGCCCATTTTCAAAGGCATGGACTCCCTTCCTAGCAGCTTATGCGTCACTCAGCCTTGCCATGCACTGGACATCGATATCTAACCGACACCGCGGGTCCGCCACCGCACCCGCGGCAGGCAACCGCGCCAGCCAGCGGCGGCGGCAGGCACTGACCGTGCCGGGGCGGCAGCGCCGGCCGGGCCGCCTGCTCCGGAGCGTCATTAGGCCGTGGGTTACACGGACACTTGAGCCGGTGCGCGGCCAGCACCTCGAGCGGCATCGTCTGATCGCAGCCTTCCGACTTGAAGTCGCAGGAGATTACCAGCCTGCGGACGGCACGGCGCGCCGTCAGCAGCCCGCTGCGGACATGGCCGCTCTGCCGGCTCGCGCGGCACGGGAGTCACGGCTGCCGCGGGACGTCGCGCTCAGATGGCTCAGGAGCCGTTGGGGGACCGCTGTGAGTCAGCGACCTGTTCTCAACGAGCGAGGGCTCTGACAGTCGGTGTAGAACAAAGCTAGTCACACCGGCATTGATCCATAGTTTTCAAACTAATCCGGCTGAGTGTTTGTGATGCAGAGGAAACGCACAACACTTGCAAATTAGTCGGCTGCATTGCTTCCTTCCTTGCTTTAAGAACGCCTACTTATAAGGGCAGCTTGGTTGGGGACCGCAGGATCAGGCGGAGGCGGCCAGAGTGCGGCATAACACCGCCGGGCACACGCAGCCAGCCGCCGGCCCCACAGACCGCTGGTGGTCCAGCACACTCCGCCAGTCACGAGGCCCGGAACACCTGCTCAGCGGTGGTCAGCCGACGACGCTGGCCAGCCGCACGTACAGACACGTACAGACCCGTACAGACACGTGCCGTGAGGTGGCAATCTCAGCCATCTGCCATGACAACACGCCAATCCTGGTCCCTGGTGCAGATCGCGTGGTCTCACCTGCCCAGCTGGTTGATGAGCATACGGCTCGGCTGGTACAGCTGATTTGCGTTGATATGCACACGGTCAAGGGGGCAGCGGCCACGAAATCTCAGCCACTCCTTTATGCACCGCTCACAAAAGCTGTGCTCACACGGCGTCTGGGAACAACAGAAAATAACAAGTTTTCAACGCCTATTAATGGATCAAACCAATGTCATGACGTCGTGCAACGAAATCAGCGACCATAGTACCTTCTGCCTTCTCCTTAAAACTATTCTCATCTCCCTCTTTGCCATCCCTACATTGAAAACAAGCAGTGCATATCCATAAAAATAGACCAACCCAATTCAGTCAGACAGCTAGGATCTTCTACAGGATACGATAAAGGTTTGGTGTCTACCTTGATGAAGACAATCACGTTAAGACCAGGAGAACATTTCCACACAAAGGGTAAATATAGGAAAATAAATATTGACTCGCCATGACAGTCGATGCCGTAGTGTTCTTTGGGCAGCATTTGGGCAGCATTTTGGGCTTTGGGCAGCAGCATTGGGCAGCCTCCTAGGCAGCATTGGGAGAAAGAGCGCACATGCTCCCTCATCGAATTGTTGCATCAATATCCATGTACAGCAATATGGGCAATTAGCAATTTAGAATGAGGTTCTTCTAACCAATACATATGCTTTCATATCCAGCAACGGATCTCTCAATCCTAAAATAGGGTTTCTTATGCCAGAAAAGGGCTCTTCCATGCACAGAGGGGCCTCCTGGTTCAGGGCATGATCATTCTGATTCACAGAGGGAGCCACCAAATCCAGCAAAGGGCCTCGTTATCCCAACACGGGAAATTCTGATCCGGAAATATGGATATTTGATACGCAGGCCGTAACCACGCGGATGTATTGGCTCCTCGTGCATCCCCTGGGATGTCGGGCACTCGGCCTGGTTTTGTGCAGCCCTTGTACTAATGGTACAGGGGATTCACGATGATGGGATGGGACCGTTCCTTGCATTGAGATCTGTAACGACCGTAGCAGAAAAACATTGGGAGTCAGCACTTGGCTCATGCCAAGTTTGCTTCCACCTGCAAATTGTATCATTTGCCCCACTTGCGTTTTGAGGAATTGCTCACTTTTGCTGTGCTAGCAGAGATTTCATTTCCACCACATCATGCTTTCAAATTTTCATCAGGACTGGATGATAATGAAGCGGTTGAATTTTAAAGGGCACCTTTCGAATGTTTCGCGCTATGCACGCGGGTAGGATTACAATCGACATTCACACGTGATTTACGATGTCACGGATATTCGGTTATTGCTGTAAGGGGACAGTCGCGGGAACGAGGCCGGCTTCATCTTCAGCTTTGGCAAGCCGCAGTTTTCCTTCAATAGCTTCGGGTTCGGTTTTGGCTTTGACGACTGGCGTTGGTATTCTGCCCTTTTTAACACGCGCCCGGGTGGCCGGTTGGATACCCTTCGCTTGGGTGGGGATTAATTGCCCCCCCCCCCCCCCGGAGATCTCAGGAACTAAGAGAGCTGGTGACACCAAATTCACAGGGAGTGTTGGCCAATACGTGAACTCACTTAGGACGAATTTTGATATTTCAGGGTCATGATCTTTGGGTCAAGTAAGGTCAAGCAAGGTTTAACTCCGGGTTGGTCTTAAAAGTGCCGCCAATACCTAAATACCTGTTCTAAGCAAAAGGGCATACGTTTATTTAAGGTCAGTGACCTTGTTTGACCTTTCGAAGGTCATCGCCACCAAAATCACACGAGGCCGTTTCGAGTCTTGCATTTGAATAAGCGACACAGATTACGCTAGGCAGTATGTTCCTAAAAACATAATGTTGACCCGGGTCATTTTAGGTCCGTGACCCATTCTGAAGTTTTAAAAAGTTCATGGAAAATGCATAGTGCGGTTCCTATTATTCACTAACTCGAAATAAGCGCCAGAAGCTACTCCACGCAGCAAGCCCTCGAGTAATGAAGGAGGTTGCTTCTGACCTTGGTTTGACCTTCACACCTCGCCGCAGGTAAATGGGGTTTGTTCATTCAATGGTTGTGCTGCCTAAGAAGGTATCTCCGAGATGTATGACCCCGTCTAACACTCGGTTGTTGCATCAGATTGAACGATTCCCGGGGAATTGACTTCGCTGAATCGCTGGCCGGACTTTGATCTGCCGTAGGTCAGTTACTTTACAAGATCCGTCTAAACTTTTAATACGAAACGATCCGCTATCCAACTGTCTACAGCTATGCAAAATCTAGCGCGGCTACGCCGCGTCGTTCGGAAATTATTCCCGGAAACCTTCGAGAAGGGGGGGGGGGTCAAATTGACCCCCTCCCCCTACTCGAGCGCGTGTAAACACCTGGCTTAGACCTTGGTTTCAGACAATGTTTAAAGGGAATATTCCACATTCGCGAGACATAGAAGCGAGCACTAGCTATGACAAAATAAGCTCACTTACAATTATTGTTTTACCTCTAGGTGGAAAAGGCTGCTCTACACAACACAAGTTGATGAGGTCCCACTCCAGGCTGCGCGGGAATGCTTTTTCAGCTGTCAGCCATCTTTTAAAACCCATCAACCTGTCTCTCGTCAGCAAAATTTTCCCAGATAGCTGGAAGACGGCATGTGTCGTACCGGTTCCGAAGTCAGGCTATTCGGCTGTACCGTCCAACAATAGGCCGATATCTCTACTCGGTGCGCTCCCTAAGATCTAAGAAAAGGAAGCCTGCACACAGGTAACGAAATATTTGAACGCGACAGCGCTGCTGCATCCACCCCAGTATCCCTGCAGGTCACACCACTCGACCGAGGATGCCGTGCTCGCCGCAGTCGAACGCCTGGTCACCAACACCGACGACGGTCCTGTATGGTGTCGGCAACGACGATCGATTTGTCAAAGGCGCTTGATAGTGTCGACGACAACGTTCTCCTCACCAAGCTGTCTTGGTATGGCGTTACCGATGTGGGATGGTTCAGGAGGCATTTGAGTGGTCGAGAGCAGGTGGTGCGTGGAGGACGACTCACTCTCCCCACGTCGTGCGGTGTACCTCAGGGCTCGATCAGCGGCTCAACTTTGTTCATTTTGTTCAGCAACGATCTATATGGATACTTGACTCATGGCTGCCGCATCTCCTACGCAGACGACGCCATGCACGTGGACTGTGCCCCCCCCCCCCCCCTCACCCCCGACGGACCGGGTCTCGTCGATCTCAAAGTGGGACTGAGACTTACCATGCGTGAGCTTTAGATCTGGTTCAATGCCAGTTCTCTCCAAATAAACGAAACAAAAACTAGCTGGGTCAAAATTAAGTTCTAAGTCAGCTGACTTCCACTTTAAAGTAAACGGTTGGACTGTGCAAGCCTCAAGTAGCATCCAAATTCTCGGCGTCACAGTTGACCCCGGTCCGTCACGGGGTGCCCATGTCTCGAGTGCCATAAACAAAATGCAATGGCATCCTCGTTTATCCCTATAAATTTCGTACTTGCTTTACTTCAGATCTTCCAAAATCATCATCCAGGCGTACGCATTCCCTCATATGACAAATTGCCTTTGCGTGTGGGGTGAAGCGAACAGAAGTCAACTACACAAAATTTTAAAAAATTAGCTTTGCTGTAAGAGCAATTGCCGGCTCCAAAAAGCACCATCATATAACTCCGGCTTTAAATAAAAAACAAAAATTAAATAAAAAATATATATTAAAAAAGTCACCATTTTGACCTCCAAAAACCACATCAACACTTTGGGGCATTGCAGCCAAGTCCAGGTACAGAAACTGCCGGGCAGATCGCTTTAAAACATTCGCCACAAAAAGAGCACATACAACTGCATCACCGTTCTGAAACTGGTGACTTCAGGTCGCCATCTGCACCTTAAAAAAACGCATAAACCACTTTAGGGCATTGCAGCCAAGCTAAAGCCACGAAATCGCTCAGCCGATCTGCCTGGAATATTTACCACAAGAACGAGCACATACCATTTTACTAGCCGTTCTAACACTGGTCATCTCAGGTTCCCGTCTTCACCTTCAAAAACTGCCCAAACCACTTTAGGACATTGTAGTCAAATCCAAGCACAGAAACTGCTCAATAGATCTACCTGGAACCTTTGCCTTAAGAAAGAACACAAATAATTACGTCAGCTGTTCTGAAAATGGTGACCCAAGGTCACCAAGGTGACCTCATGACATAATCTTCATCTTGGCTGCAATACCCAGTGGTTTATGCCGTTTTTAAAGGTGAAGACCTGAGGTCATCAGTTTTAAAACGGCTGGTGAAATCAGCCGTTTTAAAACTGCTTTCATCAGCGCGCACGCTTCTGTTTGGCAAAAACTACGAAATAGAAGTTTGCGCGGGAACAAGCCAAATAATGTTGTCTCTGTTGAACAGATCAAGACTAGGAATCCCCGCGCTTGATGTGCTTGGATAGAAGCTAAAAAATCCTGCAGAAGGGAAGAAGTCAGTCAAGTAAAATGCATTTTAAAGCATTCGTTGTTGTTTGTTTTTCAATACAGCGGAGCTCATTTTCAACAAAAAAATCATAGCAGTCTCTGAAAAAATGAGACGACAGGGAACTTCATGGGCTTGATAATCCCGCGGGTACCCATATAGAAAGGGAGCGGTTGGGGTTTCTTCAAAATTTGAGAAATGACAGGTTAAGCCACGAGTATGGGTACTGACTTTACGAGGTACTATTTAGATGGCTCAAGTAAATACTCCACGTTATTACCGTTTACGCTTGTTTTCGTCATTATTAGCTCCATGCGCGTTGTTTTTCTCCTTATTAACGGAAAACAGAAGCTTGTACGTGCACTACATATTTCGTTTTCAATATTTGACCCCAACCCTTCGATAAGATGTACTTCTTACATCAGTATCCGCCCGGTCCTGCTCTCTAACGTCACCCGAACTTAGGCGCGGCTGCTGCCACATGTCACAGGGCATCCCAGTCAGATGTGAACGGCACACGTGAAAAGCGACTCAAATCAAGCTCGCCACTGCCAAATAAAAGGGGGCAGCGAACGTTCGAAACAGCCTCGTTATCGGGAAGGACGGAAACTTCCCGGAACCTTTCCATACTGTAAGAAGTTGCGTATGGCAAAACAAAATTAAACAGGTGGGTTAAGTGTAGGTGGTACTGATGAGGAGTGGGTAACGGGCTGGTGTAGGCGTCGGCTGGGGGACTTCACGGGTTGGGTAAACCCACAGATGCCCGCGTGATGGGGATAAGAGGGTGGGTTCGTGTGGATTTGGGGAAAAAATTGTACTGGTATGAGTGACTTGACTAAAAATCGGACTGATCCTCTAGGAAATACTACACAACGTTACTGTTTGCATTTCATGAACAGATAATTAGCTCTATTTACACCACTTTTGCAATTCCTGATACAACAGAATACGGTCGGATGTCGCTGTTCCTGGAAGCTTTCCATAATGCATCACACTCAACACGTGGAAAAATGCAAACGAGTGGGTGACAGGTGGCACAGCTGGTCAGGACTGGTGAAGGGCCGAGAATGTGCACAGCCATATGGGCAAATGGTGCGCTGGGTTATCACCCGCGAAGTCATCTAGTGTGGGCACAGCCCAGAAGTGCCGGATAAATTTGGCGAAACCTTACCCGTGAATTCCTCCACTCTACATGTGCCTTGGCAGCGCCACATATCCCTTTCCTCCAAATTTCCCGGAATTTCGGCACCTAATCGAAAGTATTTCCAAAACTAAAATACATTTCTCAGGGTTTCAACTGTTATTTTTCGAGCATATGTACCAACAAATTGCACTCGCAATGTGTGTATCAATCAAAAACACTTCATCTAGTCAGGTTAGACATGCCAGCATTTTTTCTTTTCTGGTGGGCGTCTGAACACGACAAATAATGCAACCATCTGTACCAAATTCGTAAAAACAGTCCTCGCGATAACCATGCACGCGAACGCCGTCCAATTTGGAAACGGACGCAAAGCTGTGGAGCCGGCAGAACCCCCGGCAGAACACCGTCGCCACCCATGCTTACCAACAGTAATTACAGTGGAGAGCTTAATGCAAACATCCCTGGACCCATCGTGATCTGAACTAACGTGACCTTGTAAAAATGTAGGTGTGGCCGGGGATGGGCGCCAACAGTCACAGTGTCACATGAGCAGCGGTAACAAGGGCCAGTGTCTTCACAACCATGTTTTATCTCTGCATGCATTAGTGTTATTTTGGAATGTATGTAAAATTTGACACTTCAACTGACATAGAAGGCTTCCTAATCAGAGCGCATCAATGAAACTGGTGAAAGGAAGGCTGAAGATATAGGTGGATGTGCCACCATCCACATGATGGTGACACATACATATCTGTACCTCAAGTGTTCATACACTTCACAATCACATTGGTGGGGTTAGGGCTCACACAACAAACAATGCTTAGCAGGGGCACTTAAACACGAATCTATGCAACTAAAAGGCTCAACTGAAGCTAAAGCACACAACAAACAACTGGGTGCGGGAGTACTAAGCCCAAAATGTGGCTTTACTAACCTCAGCAGGATTTTCTAAAACACACATGCAGATTGAACAAATCAAGTCTTTATCAATGTCAGAAGACACAAATCTTGCTATTTCATAGCCCATCTCTTGCTTTTATCTCTGTCACCCTCTTTTCCTCTTCCACCACAAGTTTGTCTTGAGGCTCAGGTGCTTATCTGGCAAGAAAAATCTCAATTCAGCAGAAGTTAAACATGTGATCACACATTTGCAACAGCTGAGATTGAAATGGCAGCACTCAATTTCAACAGGATTATGAGTGTCTTTCAATAATTATGCATGAGCTGCCAAAACTGAGATGAGCTGTTTGGATAAATGGTATGATGCCTGCTTGGTGCATTGACACAAATGCTGGTTCTGTGTACCATTCATTGCACACTTTGCCTGACTTGGCTCTGCTGTAGGGCTATTTATACCAGAAAACTGCCCAAAAATAATCAGAGCTAGGGTTTAATTTTTCAGGTCCTTAACAGCATTAGCAAAACCATCAAAATTTTATGTCTTTCCATGCAGCCCAATTAATACTGCAAAACACCAGCAACCCACTTCCTGGAACGTAAAAAGAAAACTATGCATCGACCAAAAGGAAATTTAAACTTTAACTACCACCCAGGCAGAGGTGATACAAGAAACCAAATGTTGGAACCACATAGTTTAGTTGAAAAACTGCTATTGTTAACTAAATAAAATGGGCCTGTTCCAGTCACTAATCTGACCTCCTCAAAGCTTCTTCAAATAAGACATGACAGTTGTAATAGCCTTATTCCCCACAGAAAAATCAGGAGAATGAAAAGGTTGACATGTTGACATTTTGGCAGCATGTCTTATCAAAACAACCAATTTTTGCCTGAACATCAACACAGCTTTATCCCAATTGTCCCAGTTTTTCTATGAGGACTAAGACTATTATTACTCTCTTACCTATATGTCTTATGTTCCTCACAAAGGCCTCAAGCAACTGGTCCAAACTAATCTGATTATTTCAGCAGCCCCTCCAACCTACTACAAGATCCTCAAATTCTCTAGCAAGCACCCTCCAGCCTTCTCTGAAATAAAAGGAGGATGGATTTCCAGAGGGGTTTAGATGAGGCGGTCAGGGTGTACTTTCCTACCTAACATTAGAAAAAATCATTGTACACCATTTGTCGTGTTTAAGGCAGGACATACGTAAATAATCTCAAAACAGGTAGAATCATGCTCCTACCTTCAAATTTCAATAACTTTGATGGCGGGCCCCCCGAGCGCCGCACGCACCGCACCGCCTGGACTCCCCAGCGCCGTTTCTGCGTTGCCGTTGCGTAAATACAATATTTCTGCTTACCAAGAACAGGCTATGGTAGACATCCGGGGCACAGTTCATTCATATGCTTTTTTGCCTCCATTTGTTGCCACAGAACAGGAACAGAGGATAGGAGTGCAAAATGATGTAAAAGGATTAATTTTGAGTCATTTCATAGTATTGATGTGCAAATTATTATAATTTACTATAAATATCTAGCTTTGAATGAATCTTTTTTTGAAAAACTCATCCATCAAGGTTATTTGCCTTCAGCACCCAAAAGCTGTTTGGTTAAGCTGTGTGCAGACAGCTGTTAACTATTTCAGCATCCCCCCGTGCCAGTGCAGCAGATTTCAGAACTTCAACCTTCTCCCACTTTTTCTCATCCCGTTTTAAGATCAGTGATGGGAACAGACCCAGTGACTTTCACATGGCCCATTGGTTGTTACCCCATCTTCCCGTACCCTTTCACATCAAAGAGGTCCAAAAACTTTAAAACAGAAAACCATAGCAATGGGTTGACACTTTCCAGGCTGTCCCCCACAAACTCCAAGGTCCTTTGGAGTGCAGTCACCTGCTGGCTTACGCTGCTCACTCAGGGCAACCGAACACTGCTGGCGGTCTGGTCGGTGCTGCTCACTGCGCTTGGAAAAAAGACCGCGGGTATTCCCAACGATGGCCAAACACTGGGATGGACTAAACTGCTGAGTAAACCTGCTGTTATAGGGCCTCGCTGTTAACAGCCCCATGCTCCGAGCCTATTGCACTGATTGACATTAAACCTTCACCATTCGATGCCGCTTGATCGATAACGTGTTCTCAAAGAACATGGTGACCTTGGGTCAGTTCAAAGGTTACCAAAATGCAACAAACCGGAAAAATAGGTTTGCAGACAACCCCATGCCCTGAACCTATAGCACCAATTGTTATGAAACCTTCACCATTCGATGCGCCATAGTCGGTATGTTAATCTGTTCAGAACATGGCGGCCTTGGATCAGGTCAAATCTCACCAAAAACCGAAAAACCACCCAAATTGCCTGCATGCTCCTAGCCTATCCCAGCCAGCATTCCCAAATGGGACCCACATGGGCTAAACGTGGGGTAACTGGGTCAATGCGGGCATGGGCTACAGGTTGGCTTTTAGCTGGGCTCCAGCTGGGTCCCATATGGGACGCCCACATTGTTTCATATGTTTTATGCACCAGAACTGTTCGTGCCTTGTACTTTTCCGTTGGAATTTATCACGTCAAGAAGAAATAACTCAGCAGGAGGGAATGCTGGCATTGGTGGGATCCATGTGGGCCATATGTGGGTAAGCTGGGCTCACGTCAACTTGGGCTCCCGGTGGGCTGGTATCTAGGCTTAATCTGGGGCTCAGATGGGCTGCCCATATGTTACATGCGCAATCAAGTTGCCACACACACAATATTGATGTGTATACTAATCGTTTTGATTGTCTGGGTTTATCACATCGTGTACAATTATTCTAAATCATGGGACTGCTGCCTGGACTGGGGTCCGCATGGGTTAAGCACGGGCTAGCTGGGCTCATGTCCATGTAGGTCGCAGGCGGGCTGGTATGTAGGCTCCATCTGGTGCCCAGATGGGCTGCCCATACGCTACTATATTTGGTGCAGGTGCATTAGGCTTGTTACCTTGTGCTCCCGCGATGGATCTTTCCTTATCATATACAAATGAGTTCATAAAAAGGAGAGCAGCATGGGTTAGGTCTCATATGGGATGTATGTGGGTACGCTGGGCTCATGTCAACATGGGCCGCAGATGGGCTGGTCTTTGGGCTTCATGTTGGACCCAGATGGGCTGCCCACATGTTACACCGGAAATAAATTTGTCATGCACGCAATTATGCGTATATCAATTGTATTTATTGCTTTAAAGTTTTACCATATCGAGTATAATTATTTTGCATGTGCCACCTCCATGCTCACGTCCATGTAGAATGCGAGTGGGCTGATATTTGGGCTCCTACTGGGGCCCAGATAGACGGCCCATACGCTACGAAATTTGGTACAGATGCATTAGGTCTGCTACCTCGTGCTCCTACGTTGGATTTTTCCTTATCGTGTACAAATGAGCACATAACAAAGGAAAGCAGCACGAGTTGGGGTCCATATGGGATGCATGTGGGCAAGTCGGGCTCATGTCAACATGAGCTGCGGGTGGGCTTGTCTTCGGGCTTCGGGCTTCATGTTCATGTCATGTCATTCCAGATAGGCTGCCTATATGCTGATATAGCTTATACCAATGCGTTCGTTTTCGGACTTTGCTGTCCATGGTTGGATATTTTCTCATTGCGTACAACCTAATTTTCAACAAGGGTGAGCGACATATACTCAGATCCAAACGCGCCGCAGGTGGGCATGCTGGCTACATGCCAGCATGGGATGCAAGCTGGCTGGTGCCTCGGCCCCATCTGGGACCCAGATTGGCTGCCCATATGCTATCATATCGACTATGTGCGGGATAATTTTCGTACTGTATGCTCCCTGGTTCGGTTTTACCATGTCACGTACCAATAAGGGGGACTGCTGGCATGGATCTCATCCGCATGGACTGCGCGTGGGCGAACTTAGCTCACATCAACGCTGACCGATTCACTGCCATGTAACTTGAGGCAGTTGGTGTGTTCCGTGCTGGAAGCTTGTGCGCTGAGGGCATGGAGTGAGCCCTCCACTTACGTTTCACCCGTCGGTTGATCATTGCTCGCGTTTGGAGCTTCCCAGGTAATTACGGGTGTCCCGCTGGCCGGTCGCCCGCTGGGATCTCAGCAGTGGCGAGTGGGGGCTTCGCATGACCGGCCCGCTGACCGGCACCTCCGCGCCCCCTTCAGGGGCGCGAAGGTGCCGGTCAGCGGGCCGGCTGGCCAGGTGGGCCGGCACCACCGAGCACTGAGCACTGAACAGTTGGCTTTCTGTCACTTTGAACCCGCGGCCCCATCTCCGGCAGTGGCCCATAGTCTGTCACGGGCTTTGTTTGAGAAAGCCCGAAGAGGGGCCGGAGGGCCTCTCGGGACTCAAGATCAACGGCTCGATTCGACTCGGGCCTGGCCCCCACCCGTATTGCCGTGACTTGAAATGTTAGAGGGCTTCTACTGTGCCCTCTTATTTGGATTTTCTATCCCTTTCATATAGGGCCTCGACACGGGGCCAAGCACTAGGCTCCAGGTCTATCTGAGCCGTTGAGATCATTTATCAAATAGGAACGAGGCTGGGGCCTGCGATTTGCAATGTTTGGGGTCCCTGATACAGCGAGGGGCTCCTGTATCGGCCAGGGGCCACAGTGCCTAACAGGGTCGTGCGGCGGCAAGTGGCCCGAACCGGCCACGGCCACACCACGGGTTTGCTCCATGAATCTCAATCTCCGTAAACGGCCCATCACTTTTGAAAACGCAGCAATTGTTGAGTATCCCAGTGGCATCACCATCATCGCGCATTTAAGGACTTCAGTACTTTTCAAAGCGCAGCAATTGTCCGGTGACGTCATAAACGATAAAGAAACATGCGCTTGGCTCTGACGTCATCATCAGCTGGCACGTGTATTCACTGAGCACATTTGCTTGAGAACGTGTGCAGTATGTTTGTCAACAGTACTCGCTGTGTGGGTAGGGGTTGGGGGATGATGTCGTTATTTGTGTTATGCACAATACATAGGTGTATTTAGGGTAAAAACAGTATGTTTTTCTGAAATAATAGTCTTCAAATAGCCTGTCGTCCAGTTTTCAGGAGAACGGTATGACTGAAACGTACTGTATTTGATGCCTGAAAAGTGAGCGACGTCTGCTGGGAGAAGGCTCGCCGGTGTTCCGTGCGGCGTGCATTGGCATAGGAGGCATAGGAGTGTTTTGTCGCCCTGGCTTAGGGCGGTAATGGTTGGCTTAGCAAGAGCATTGTGTATTTTGTGGTTTGAAAACAGGGTCCTGCTGCTTGCAGAAATGGTATGCTCAGGACTTAACTGAAACTGATGCAAGAAACATGTTCAGAAATGGAAGGTTGATGACCAAGCTGGATGTAACCCAGCTGATAGCAAAAGGTGCAAGTTATGTACAGCATCCAGTTTCCAGACAGTTCCACCAAGAAGGCAGCTCACTACCAGAATGCAGAGGAAGGAAACAATTTTGCCTCTGACAGTCATGCCTATGACACTCACATCCACTCATCACCACTGCAGAAGATGTTGCTGGGTGTTGGCTCCTCAATTCTTGGACTGTTGGATCCAACAAGAGCAGGTGAGAATAATAAATACTTCTGGTAGCATGGATGTGTATTGCTTATCTTATGCATTATTCAACATTGCATGAAAAGTGTGTCCCCTATCATGTGCATCTCTACCACATGTTTCCAAGGCAGGCATAGCTATCAACTCCCAACATTTAAGTCTCAGTCCTTATCCTGGTGCCCTAGCTGCACAGTTTGAGCCCAGTGTCCGCCATTAGTATGCCATTAAACCAGTGAAGTGCGGATCCCAAATTTTGGCACTGGGTCCAGGGCAATCACTTAAAATACTTTTGGTGGCCTGAGCCCCTCCAGTGCTGCTCTGAGCTCACTTAATGCATGTGAGCAGAAGGAATACTAGGCTGAATAGGTATATAACAATTGTCTTAACTGCTGGCATGCAAGGTAGCAGGTAGTGCAAGACATATTTGTCACAAAATCATGGCTATGATGGTCACAACCTAAGCAGTTATAGCAGTAGTCATCAGGGATTTATAACCAAGGTTTGCAAGGATGCTTTTCTGTGAAAAACATTCCATTCTAAGCTTTTTACTCAAAGTTAGCCCACATTTGAAATGGGAAGCAACTTCTTTAACAGCAAATCATTTTAAATGTACAAAATGCAATTTTGTATCATTTCAACTTCAAATTCAAGTGATGAAAATCAGGGGAGAAATCTGGTCTCCCTTAAATGTGACTGCAGTTGTGGAGGTCATGGCCACAGTTGCAGCCAAAGTCTAGCTTTTATATTCTTTGTGAAGCATCAACAAATTTGGTCCATTTGATAGGAAATAGCAAGTTTGATAATCAAGGACCTGATATGTACAAGGCATGTGCTTCATGCAGAAATATTCAGGAAAGCATTAAAAGGGATGATGATGGCCGTGGTGATGGTATATCGCCTTGTAGTGATAATTGTGGCCAAAGTCTACCTTTCAAACCAACACTTGAAATTGAACAAAAAATGACAACCAATACAGTTGCCACATTCCAGCATCAGTTAAGAATAGTTTCAAGTCAACTGAGCAAGAGGTGTATCATTCAATTTTGCCTGCTGAAAACCTGCAATTAGCACTTCTCAAGATATGTGCCTGCAGAGAGTGTGCTGGGCCAGGCTGCGCAGGTTGAAAATGGTCTGGCAACTTAACTAAACTCAGGTCACAGCTGCCCTCATGAAATCATATATAAAGAGACAAGTTTGTTATTAAGAAAAAAAGTTTGATACTTTATTTAACAAAAGATGACTTGACAGGTAGGGGTCACTTATTGTGCCTCCTGACTTCACACTTCATATCAGAATCTAAACATTTAGTTGTGTGTGTGTTGTGTGACCCAGGTTAAGACAACAACAATATTGGACTCAGAAACTGAACAATAGGCCAGAAATCTGGAGGTATGTAGGAAGAAGTGTGCTTGTTGGTAGCAGAGCAGCCCATTATGTGATCATCTGTTACAGATTTGGTAGCTGTGTCAGGAGAGACAACAGGAGCTATTGTTCTTCCATGTCTCCTGAGAAAGATGCAGGAAGATCCAGAGGGGCAGGATATTCTGAGGTATGCTGAGGGCTCCAACATAGCCATGCTGTTTCTATTAAGCCATGCAACTGCCCTCTGAGAGGGAGGAGTTGATGTGTCATATGGGCCCACCTGGGTTTCATACATTTGTTGCCTGCATCAGGCATGTAGTTTCCCATGCAGTTGGAGGGCTTCACCCATCCCAATTTGGGCTTTAGCCCTTGCCCCCCGCCCCCCCCCCCCCTCCACCCCCGCGATATTTTTGAGAAGAGTGTAGACCAAATGTGGGAAAAACCTTTGTTGATGTATTTTAGAGGTAGATATTTTCATGTTTTACTGCTCAGCCCCCCCCCCCCCCTCATTTTACGAAAGTACGCTCCTGGCTTCCACGATGGTAAAGATGCCATGATGGCACAGATAGCACAGTGGCTTCTGGCTGTTGTCGGTGCCAAAACGTCAGATCCAAACGCGAGCGAGCGAGTTCAGATCCAAATGCGAGTGGGCAACGTCAGATCCAAACACGAGCGGGCGACATCAGATTCAAACACGAGCGAGCAGCGTCAGATCCAAACGCGAGCGGGCAGCGTCAGATCCAAACGCGAGCGGGCAGCGTCACATTCTAACGTGAGCAAGCAACGTTAGATCCGAACGCGAGCGACCGACACGTTAAGAAGTGTTGGAGCTTAACCATTTTTGTTTTCAAAGCGATTGAGACATCGACCTTTGGCACACCAAGCTCAGGCCTCACCATAGAAATATCGATAGCTCCGCTATTTGGTCGATATCAGTCATGCGTAAGTGCCAACCCTTCCACGTGTTTCATGTGGATGTACTGTTATGGTTACAAACTATGGAAGCCCAAATCGGCTCTTGGCTTCATGTTCAACGAATCTTTTTTTCTTCTACAACATTCGTGTAGCGTCAGTCATACCATTACCTCAAATTTTGCTCATCTCCAGCTGTCCGAAAAATATCCTTGAATTAACCAATGACATTTACTATAAGTGTTGACTATTTTAATTGCGGTCAGAACTGTGCAATGCACATATAGTGTGTGGTCAGCGATGGATAAAATTATAGGGATGCGTGCCTCATATCATGGCTGTGGTCAGTCGCAGAAAATCAAAATGGATATCAAGGTGGCACGGACTCGCTGCGTCTTACCCATCTTATCATATTATCATCTGCACAATTGACACTTGATCGCATCTGAGCGGAGTCACAGAGTGTCACAAAATATGTTGGTTGCTATCGGCCACAGAAAGACCTGATCGTCCCAAGGCTATATGTTAAAATTCGTTGCCCTGGATCAACGTTCAGCGCCCCCGGGCTCTTGGACGCCACCCTACTTGTCGAGAGCAATTTCCAGTCCCGCTCCAGCCGCAAGATCTGCCGCCCGTGGCAGATGATAATAGTCAAGGTATGTTAATGTGCAAATGTGACCTGATCACATCTGCCACGGGGCGGCAGATCATGTGGCGGGAGCGGGGCTGGAGATTGCTCTCCAAAAGTAGGTTGGGGCCCAACAGCCCGAGGGCGCGGAACGTTGGGCCCAGTCCAGCGTGAAAGGTCCCTTGCCTTTCCAAGATATTATATTACCTTAGTTTAGGACCACTTTTTCTGAGAAGTCCTTTGATCACGATTCTAAAGAAAAGCAGGTAGAGCACCAATATGAAGCCCGAAGGGTTGAGCTACCCAACTGTGAAAGTCTATGACATTTTGACGAACTACGCGATAAACTTCGGCGCGAGGTTTGTCTGCCATTCAAACAATGGCGTGACATTTTATTTCCACTATACACCCCTTTTGATACGGAAGCCCAGCGTGTCACGCGACGCAGATTTCTATCCTTTTTTTCTTTTTTGTTTAACCCAATGGTCTCCTGCCTTTTGAACATTAGCCCATGGCGTGTGAAAAAGCGGAGGCGCGGAAAGACAAAATGGACGCGAGTAGACAGGGATTATAAGGACAGGGCTAATTGAATTTATATTAAACCGAAGGACAAAAAGCTGACAATGTAAAAGCCGAATCGAAAATAAATCGAAAGGAGCGCACTATTTGGACGCACTTCACCTCTGGAGTGGGTATTATAATCTCTGGCATGTGTTTGATTTGGCGTCAGTCAAATCATTAAGCTTCTCCTGTGTTGAATCCCCTGACTGCCCGCTTGTTGACCCGCGTGGAAAACAACGTTTATCCTAATCATTTTGTTTTGTTCGGGAAGCTGTTGTCGGATCTTTGTTTTCGCTCTGTTTGCTTTTATGCCATACAGGTTTTCATATCCGGGTTTGTGGTGGTCGACTTGTACTTTTAAGTGTTTTCGGGTCTGTCACTGCTGACTTTTGTCCCTTTTGACTTTGTTCGATTCAGCTTTTGTTCACCCCTGTTGACCTTTATCCCCTTTAACTTTTGTCGTTTGCCCTTTCGCCGATTTGACTGACATCCCTGTTGACCTTATTTCGGCTCGACTTTTTGTCCTTTAACGTCTTCCGGTTGTTCATTTGTCTTCGTCACCACTATGTTTCTCGGATTTTTCGTCGAATTACTTTTGTTCGACTTTTTCCATTCGTTTCTGTTTACTCGACTGTTTTCCTGAATGTCATTGGTATGACCATGCGCATTCCCCCGTTATTTGCAACATGAATGAAATCGGAACAGGCACCGCTTGTCGAAGGCCAGCATCAATTAATTTAAGGATTTATCAATGTTATGTACGACCGCAATTTGGTAAGAATATGCCTCTATGGGTACAATCGGCAAAATAATGTGATGTCATGCATGGCGTCTATAACGCAAACAAGTCACGAATTAGTAAAGTCCTCTAAAAAATCACATAAATGGCAATGCAAATATACAACAAGCATTAATGCACTACTAGACAGCAATGACCTCAATCGCGTGTTGATCATAATTTCGAACAAACCGCACAGATTGAATGGTATAAAGCTTGCGGTACGAAAATTGACGCCGTACAGCGGAAAGTCGAGGCGGTTGGGTGTATGACTGAGTGACCCGGGCAGCCCCATGCAGAGGGGTTTTTAGTTTGGCGCAATGCCGCGTGTCTGGTTGGCACATGATGTGTTTCACAGCCGGTCAGCTGCGCCTAGCACGGCCCGGGGCGTGGCCTGCGTTGACGTTGTCCCGCGGCGGTGGCGGCAGGGAGCGGCCTGTCATCAACTCACGCTCCGTGGACCTGGAGGGCCTGGCGCGCCTGCCGGACGGCACGCTCGGACGCGAGTACGTCCGCTTCCTGCAGGACCAGGTGGGACATGGCGCCAGAGCACTGCGGCGCACTGCCGCGGCGCGTGGGCACCACCGGATGTAGAGTCGTCGCAGGACGGCTCCGCTCAGTGGATCTGTGCAGGCCTGGAACTGATGGACACGTCGTGTTTTTTTTTTTCGCGGGAAGCAACGTCCTATTCTGCGGGACGGACGTTTACACTCTGGGGATTTTCATTATCAACATGATATGTAGAATATCTGCAGCTGTCAACGGGGACACAAACAGTTTGGAGTAGCCAAGCCCGTTATGGGACATTGACCAATATTCAAGCTACTTTTTGTCAACCTTGACTCGCGCTGGAAGGACTTGTCATCGTTTCACATGCGCCCCATTCCTTCTTGTTGCCTGGCAGTGCTTTGTCGCCATCACTGTAATAGTTGAACGCGCATTTATCCGTGCTCTTCCCACGTAAGCTGTCCATCGAGATTTTTGGTGCGGGTTCCTGGCGCCGTCTGTGCCTCCTCCGTGTCTAGTCCCCTGCAGCCCGGCTGAGCGTCTCATCCCGACGCGCGGTGCGGTGTCTGTAGGGCCGGTGTGTGACGCTCGTCTGCCTCCGCAGCGTGTGACGCCCGTCTTGCCCGCAGTGCGTGACGCCCGTCCGCTGCCGCAGCGTGTGACGCCGTCCACCCCCGCAGCGCGTGATGCCCTCCACCCCCGCAGCGTGTGACGCCCCCCAGGTGGCCAGCCCCCCGCAGCGTGTGACGCCCTCCACCCCCGCAGCGTGTGACGCCCTCCACCCCCGCAGCGTGTGACGCCCTCCACCCCCGCAGCGTGTGACGCCCTCCACCCCCCGCAGCGTGTGACGCCCTCCACCCCCGCAGTGCGTGACGCCCGTCCGCTGCCGCAGCGTGTGACGCCCTCCACCCCCGCAGCGTGTGACACCCATCCGCCCCCGCAGCGCGTGACGCCCGATAGCCGGGACCCGGTGCGCTTCGTGGACGACGCGGACCAGGCGTACGTGATGCAGCGGTACCGCGAGTCGCACGACCTCGTGCACACCCTGCTGGGCATGCCCACCAGCCTGCTGGGTGAGTGGGCCGGCGGGCGCGTCGCCAGACATCGACACGGTCCGCCAGAGTTGGGTCCATGTCTGGCGACGCTCATCACCACACCTGGCTCTCGCTGGCGTCGGATCGCTTCTTGTCGGGGTCTCTTCGGACGGCTGGTGTTTCCCCCCGGCTCGATGTCACAATGGTGACACGCGTAGTGAAGAAGGCGGCGCGCCTTTGCCCCTCTCAGTTGTTTGGGCTTAGGGCGCGTGGGCGTCAATAGTCATTTTGTGACCTTACAACATTGAACGCGTTGTGCTGCTGCGGCTGTGTGGTGTGGAGGTGATGGACGTTACACGATCGGCCGATACGCAGTTGATACGCTGACAAATCGATACGTTCAGCTCTGTCTGTGTCTCCCGCGCAGTAATGGACGGGGTAGTTTCCGTCACCAATGACCGAAGCGGGTGAAGTCATCGCGAAATGACCGGAGGCATCATCACACAAAATTGCCGTTGCTTCCGTCGTCGTACGGTGTGATTCGCTGGGCTGTTTTCCTGTGGCCGGACGTGCGACTCTGTCGGCGGAGGGTCGCCTCTGCCGGCGGCGGGGCGCGCGCCGGTGCCGACGCGCCCGCCCCCGCACAGAGCGCACCACCGACTGACAGCCGCCGCCCGGCAGGCGAGGTGACCGTCAAGTGGGTGGAAGGTCTGCAAACGGGACTGCCCATGTGCATCGGAGGCGGCCTGCTGGCGCCGCTGCGGCTCAAGCCCAAGTACGTGACGCCGGGGTGGCGCGACCGCCGCCTGTCGCTCGCTGGCAGGCGTCCGTGACCACGCGCGCGTCAGAGGTCGGCTCCACCGGCTCGGACAGACCAGGTGTCGCTGGTGCGCCACTCGGCCTCCCCGCTGCTGCTGGGGTGTCAAGTTCAGATCTCTGGCCAGAGCTCAGAGCTCAGACCTGTCTTGCAAAGGAACTGATGCCTGGTCTCGTTCACTCCTTGTCTGGACGCACGGGGTCCGCCAGACGCTTTGTGTCGGACAGGCATCGCCAGGTCTTCCGGACAGCGAGTGTACGCAGCCGAACTCGCTCCAGATGGGTGTGTGTCTGGCAGACGTCAGTGTTACCTGCCAGAGTGCGTGCCGAAGGTGGATGTAGCTTCGCTGTGTGTCGACTGTACTGGACTATGTGCTGAACTACACTGGACCTCGCTATCTGCTGGACTGTACTGGGCTTCGCTGTGTTGATCAGACTGGACTTCGCTATGTGGTAGACTGTACTGGACTTCGCCATCTGTTAGACTGTACTGGGCTTCACCATGTGTTGACTGTCTTGGACTTCGCTATGTGGTAGACCGTACTGGACTTCGCTATGTGGTAGACCGTACTGGACTTCGCTATGTGGTAGACCGTACTGGACTTCGCTATGTGGTAGACCGTACTGGACTTCGCTATGTGGTAGACCGTACTGGACTTCGCTATGTGGTAGACCGTACTGGACTTCGCTATGTGGTAGACCGTACTGGACTTCGCCATGTGGTAGACCGTACTGGACTTCGCTATGTGGTAGACCGTATTGGACTTCGCCACCTGTTAGCCTGTGTTGGGCTTCACTATGTGTTGACTGCACTGGACTTCGTTATGTGGTAGACCGCACTGGACTTCGCCATCTGCTGGACTGTACGGGGCTTTGCTATGTGTTGATAAGACTGGGCTTCACCATGTGGTGGACCGTGCTGGGCTTCGCTATGTGTTGGAGTGTACTGGACTTCGCTATGTGGTAGACCGCCCTGGACCGGTTGTGCACCTTGCCTGATTTTGACTGACTGCCTGGGGCGCATACGACAAACATCTTAGACAGATGCTTTGCCATTGGGGATTTACGACGCATTCAGCTGCAGGTGTTTTGGTGTCGCGCGATCCTTACCCTGACTGGAGTGACTGTTGCCGCGGGGATTTGAAGGGCGTTCCTTTGGTTATCCAGACAAGCAGCGTAACCGCTACACTAACCGTACCTTAACGTATTTTACACTACTGGTACTCCTTCGACAGATGTACATATTCGACACCATATTACAGATATCCATGCATGCATACGTGACAAGACATCTTTGACATCGGTGCCTGCACCATCGCCTGATGGGGTCCGCTCACTGTTTTTAAAACTTGCTAGAAGAACCCATCCCAGACTGTGTACTTGGCTTACCGACTCTGTCCTGGCGTTGTCTGGCAGACATCGTCAGCTCTACTGGACGACATGTCTGCCGTGGGCTCTGCGGGCCGGCCGCCAGGCCCGCTTCCTGCTCAGCGTGTACTGGGAGCGCCGCTGGCACCAGCAGCTGGAGGAGCTGCGGCAAGAGCTGCACGTGCCGCCGCCGCCGGCCCTTAGCTGACGGTCCGCTGCGCCGCTGGCACCAGCAGCTGGGGGAGCTGCGGCGAGAGCTGCACGTGCCGCCGCCGCCGGCCCTTAGCTGACGGACCGCAGCACCGCTAGACTCGGACCGCCGTCGAGGCGGTCTGAGTGAGTTGGCGCGTGGCGTCTAGTCTGTGATGAATGCCTGGATGCGTGCCACGTCCTGGGCAGGTGCAGCTTTTGAGCTGCGTTTATGTGCTTATATGGCTTCAGTACATGTGTGATGCAGGTCTTCATGGATTACATAAATGCGTGAACTTCAGATTGGTCGGTGGATTGGAATGGACTTAATCCGGAAGTTTCTGAACGACACGGAGTAGGACTAAAATATATTGAAAACCTGGCCTGCACAAGTTGGTTAGAATGAGTTTGTTAGAAAACCGTTCCCAATGTATAGGTAGTATATTCGTCTTACGAGGCTCATCAAGCATCTGATGATAAACTGGACTGAAATGTAACAGATCGACTTGCTTCGGATCAGATTGAATCACATTGATCAGATCTTTGGGGAAATGTGTTTGCTTTGGTGTGTTGGATCGGATCCGACTTAATATGCTTGGGCGAGGTAGATCGGTGGGTGGACTGCATTGGAAGTTGGTGGATTGGATCTGGACTCAGATAATCATAAAGAGCCCTGTGGTGATGCCGTTTCCTGCACTGCCCGTCAAACAATCGATTTCAGTCCCGCAGCAGTTTAAGACTGGAGGGAACACGCGTGATCCTTGCAGCAAGCATCACCAGGGGCACCATGCAGACTGCCTCGCATTGCGTGCGTGTATGCGCAACTGTGGGCCTTTTGCAATTCATTATCCATGCTCTGCGCAGCACGCAAACGTTTCGACTATGTGTTGTAGGTATCGTGTGGGAAATGCTCAGGACACATGGTCGTTAAGTTCGTCGGGCATAGTTTGCCTAGCATAAGTTTGTCATGTCAAAGTTCGTGTGCATCACAAGTTGGTCGATGACAACAAGCTCAACGTGCTGAAGTTGGTATGGAGCAAATGTTCGCATGTGACAAACATTTGAGAACTCCCACGCGGCTTTGTGCAGAGGTGTACACGTGGTGTTGTCACTCAAAATTGCCAACATCCAAACACGGTCGTCTTATATATACACAATCCTGCCAGGATGACCTTAGGCCAGACCATACAGGCAGTCCTCTCGAAAACGCCCAAAATGTGTTCAATGTACGAAATTCATTATTTGAACACATCCTGTATTGTTCAGACACATATTCACGTCCCCCCTCCTCTCGGGCACCGCTCAAACACTCCCACTCCCGGCCCGCCGCCGCCCCGCCGCCAAGCGGCTGAAACTCGCACCGCGCTCCCGCCTTCAACGCCTGCTTCACAGCTTTCGGTAGCCCCGCCACAAATGCACAGCACAGGCCACCTGCGCTGAGCCCCCCGAGCAGGGACGCAAACTGCTGGAGCTCCGCGAGGAAAACATCTACGGAACGGCTGTCGCAGTGTGGCCAGACCAGTGAGGACCGTCTCGGCCTGCGCACGAGAGGACTGTCACGGCGCAGCAAGACCAGGGAGGACTCTCGCGCTCCGCACGAGAGGACTGTCGCAGCGTGGCCAGACCAGTGAGGAGCGTCTCGCCCTCCGCACGAGAGGACCGCCACGGCACGGCCAGACCAGTAAGGACCGTCTTGCCCTCCGCACGAGAGGACTGTCACGGCGCAGACAGACCAGGGAGGACTGTCTTGTCCTCCGCACGGCAGGACTATCGCAGCGCGGTCAGACCAGAGAGTGGATGTCTCGCCCTCCGCACGAGAGGACTGTCGCAGCACAGCCAGACCAGGGAGGACTGTCTCGCCCTCCGCACGAGAGGACCGTCGCAGCACAGCCAGACCAGGGAGGGCTGTCTTGCCCTCCGCACGAGAGGACTGTCGCAGCACAGCCAGACCAGGGAGGACTGTCTCGCCCTCCGCACGAGAGGACTGTCGCAGCACAGCCAGACCAGGGAGGACTGTCTCGCCTTCCGTACGAGAGGACTCGCAACGCGGCCAGACCGGAGAGGACTGTGTCGCCCTCCGCACGGATGGTCTTCACGACGCCTACCGGAGACCGCACATTGTTTGACAGTGTCAGGAGGTGGTGAGAGTGCGAAAGCACTTCTTATGAGATGACCTGGCTAATAAACACTACGGCAGATTCCATCTTAAAAGGGATTTTTCACATTGAATATATTGAAACAAGCATCAGACATGAAGAAACGAGCTCACTTAAACTACTGGTATGCCCTGAGGTGCAAAAGATTGATCTTGACAACACAATTTCATGTTAGTTAAACGTGTTACTCGATGCGCCATTGTTTCATTATATCGTTTTTTGCACAGCATTGATTGAGAGCGAATTGACGGTGTTATATCTGGAAATTGTGTTCACGAACGCAAAATATCAATGACTCAGCCATTATTTTTTTATTGGCCCGGACCGCCGCATGGCTTACAAAATGGCAGGGTTTGTATGACGCTATTGCGGCGTCGTGCATGCCAAGGTAACCTTGAAATACTCTCACCGAAATGGTCTCCCCATCTTCGCGAACGCGTAGCTCAGAAACTGTAGCGGCTTAACCCTAAATAATGGCAAGGCTGTGGACTGCACCAAATGATCTCCAAGATGGCCATTTCAGTTCAAAACCCCCTACGAATGTGAAGCATTTCTTTAACCATTTCGCATTTGTTTTTTGGACGCTGAGATCCGAACTGTACAAGCCAGCCCGGTCAATGCGTACTCCGCCAGTGTTCAGAGTTGCCTCTAAGCTACGATTTGACGCTCGGACAGACACAATATACGCCCCCAGAAGGTATGTGCTGCCGGCACTGCGCTAGGGCAAACCACTCTGCCCGAGTTGTCAGCAGCCATACACGGAACAAGCGATTCTTGAGCTGTGTTGGGCTAGATGGCGTGCCTATCCGGACGGGGCGCCATTGCTTTGATGTCATCTGGCTCGTTATATTTCATGCCACAGACAGGGGTGTAGTGTCCTGTTAAGTTGGGAAGGTGTCTTCGCCCCCCCCCCCCCCCCCCGCCCCCGACCTAGGCTCTAGTTCCCCAACATTCGGAAGAGTAGGCTAAATCTGGGGAGAAACTCATTTGTTAGTGTATTTAGGGGGTAGTTTGGGTCATTTTCGCTGTTCAACCCCCAAAACTAATTTTGTGAAACTACGCTCGGGCCACAGCCGCCGCGTTTGACTAACGCCTCCGTCGTTAGCTGTGTGCTCCCAGACAGGTGGAAGGTAGCGTCTGCGGTTCCTCTGCACAGAGCCGATGACCACAGCCTGGTTAGTGCTTGCTTATCCGTCCCGCCGCCTCCAATCATGTCCAAGACCACCATCAAGCATGATTTCCAGTCATAATCATGATCAGTCATGATCACCAAGATCACCAATCATGTCTAAGATCACACCGTGTGAAGATCACTTGTGGTTTGTGACCAGCTGACTACATATTCGGCAGACGACTACCTGTTGAGTGCCTGCGAGTACACATACCACCTCGGCCATTCTGCGGAACGCGACGGTTTTAGGGAATCCTGAAATTATGAAAATACATGTCAACGGCAGAACTGTGGAGCAAAAGTATAACGTGCTGCGATGGTTGGCATGGTCCGTCCTGGCCTCTGACGCCATCTGGCCCATGGCGCGACCGCTGCCAACGGCCACGGGACCGTAGCGGTCAGGGGAAAAATAGCGGGCATCCAAAGTGACTCAGACCCACCTCGTCACAGGTGGGTGGATCGGAAGATATACGCTCTAACCAACTGAGTCATTCGAACGGACGGAAAGAACATGTTACATGCTGACAGATGGCAAATAACTGCACTCTCGGGAGCGACCTTGGACCAGTCGCTGGGCGGGGATTGACGCACAGACTAACAGACCGATCAAATGTTTATGGGTACTGTTCCCAGCGTATCAAATTACGGCTGTTTGGCTCCAAGTATCGCTGTCCATGGTAGTGTATATGATATTTAAAACCAAAGGAGTTGTCCTAATCACCAAATTCCGAAATAATATTCAGAAGTGTCGTGTTGAAAAAAGCATTATAACCTGACAACGTGGGGGAGGGGGGGGGGGGGTGGCTAAGGCGCCATGAGCACCACCCTTTTGCTTCGCCATTGCCTGCGACGCACGACATCCTCATTTTCTTGAGTGGCATCCGATGTTACTGTACTACAATAATCCTCATCCAGATCATTCAGTCTCATGTATTCTTATTATATATATATATATATATATATATATATATATATATATATCTTACATCGCCTTCTGCTGCCGTTCTGAAATGAGGCGGTCGATTATCGACTAAATCGCGTCCAAAAAGTCATTACTCCTGCCGCTCGGCTGGTGGCTCGCGTACCACGTCACAATCGGCCCCTAACCCGCAGCACTGGTCAAGGAATAGCGAGCTTGTGGAGCGCGACTGCCTGAAAGTGTGCCACGCTCTCCACGATGCCGGCGCCTCAGCAGCCGCTCAGACCATGTTTAGGCGCGGGTGTGACGTCGCTGCGCACGACATATGGCTCCCGCCGATACAGAGCGGCTCCAGCTGCCGAGAGGGCGGCTTGTCAGCCGCTGGGGATGTTCAGAGTACCAAGCAGCGTCAGAGTGGAGCCATTCGCCCGGTGAGACACCGGACGCTTCCAGCATTCTTGAGTTCAGAGTTGTAATCCCTCGGCGGAGGATCTGGGTTGCGTCGCCCTGCTTGTGGGCTTTACATTGACTTAGCATTGATATCAACCTTTGTCTAGTCCACAGCGATTCGTTTTTCGTCCTTTGCGTTTAGCTTTTTTTGGGGGGGGGGGGGCTGTTATTGTTTGTCGTAACGTCGTAAAATAATTACGCTAGCATGTATGGGCACGAGCTATAGGAATGCTAGTATGATAACGAATGCTGAATCCCAGCCATGGTGGATGCATGCGGCTTGACCCAAATAAACGGGACTTTGCAAGGATTCGTGATGAAGT